TATGACTAGGAGTTATGGGATGAACTGTATGCCCTCAAAATTTCATATGTTGAAGTCCCAATCCCCATTACCTCAGAATGTGACTGTATTTGGAGATGGGAGTCTTTAAAGATGTAATTACTTAAAAAGAAGTCATTTGGGTGAGCCCTAATCTAATATGACTGGTGTCATAAGAAGATGAGATTAGGACAAAGACACACAAAGGGAAGACCACATGAAGACACAGAGAAAAGACAGCCATCTATAAGACAAGGGGAGAGGCTTAAAAAGAAACCAACCATTCCAACACCTTGATTTGGGGCTTCTAGCTTTCAGAAATGTAAGAAAATTAATTTCTGTTGTTTAAGCCACCCAGTCTATAGTTTGTGATGGCAGTCTGAACTAAGATACAAGTCAAAAGAGTGATATAAATAATATGACTTAACTGAGCTCAGGAGAGGATATAAATGAAAGATAAAGAACTGAAGACTTAAAGAGAAGAAATACAAGTGTGAATAGATACCACAAAAGGAAAGGAAAGGAAATAAATTGCACATGGTGAAAAATTGAAAACAAAAAATAAAATAAATGAAAAAGAGGAAGAAAATGATAGGTACAGAGGACAGGCAAAGAAGATCCAACACACATGTAATAAGTGACTGTAAAGAGGAAAATCAAAGTGAGAAAACAGATTAATGATAATTAAAATTCAAGAAAAATTTCCCCAAGTAAAAGGGTCTTAAACATAAATACTACAGGGCACATCACATAACAGAGGAAAAATCTGATCCAAAAAATTCTAAACCAGGTATCAGTAAACTGGCCTGTAGGTCAAATCTAGGCCACCTCCTGTTTTTGCAAATAAAATATTTATTGGAAGACAGTAACACCCATTCATTTACATATTTTCTTGGGTTGTTTTCACACTATGGTGACATAGATGGGTACTTGCAACATAGGCTGTATGGCCTGCAGAATGTATAATATTTACTCTCTGGCCCTTCACAGAAAGAGTTTGCTGACCTCGGCCTATGCCAAGATATATTCCAGTAAAACTATTAGATTATAATAAAATGAAAAAATGAAATGAAATAATAATAAAATAAATTCATTGAACATCCAGGACAAAACACCAACTCACTTAATTAGTGGCACTTTTAGGGTAAAATAATACTCTATGCCAGTACACAAAAGAATAACATAATTGAGATAGTAAAGTGAAGAAAATATAAACCAAAGGTTTAATTTTCACCCAAATTGATCTACAAGTACAAAGGTCACAGTCATACTGTTATTAAAATGCAGGGGCTCAGGGAAACAGTTTCCATGAGCTCTTCCTAAGATGGCTCAGAAAACAAGCTTCTGACAATGAAGAAATTATTGGAGAAGCTTTAGAACAGAATATAAGGTGATCATTATTTCACTGTAGCAACAAGATTAAATAAAGGAGGATAAGAGTGACAAAATACATGCAATTGTTATTTGAGCTGACAATGTAAATATAACTATGAAAGAGGTGAGAGAGGAACATAGAGCGATAATAAGGAAAGCAGACCATGCACGCTGATTATCTTATAGATATTAACTGGTACTAAAAGGACATTACTTTAAATTAGCTTGTGGGGAGAGAAAGGAGGGAGAAGTGGTTCCTGGGTAACTATAACATTGCTTATGATAGAAAATGAAGACAAAAATCTTTAAAAAGTGGGACTATACAATATAAACATACCACATAAAAGATAACTTTTAGAAAAAACACAAAACTTTCTAAATAACAACAGTAGTACATAAAAGAGAGAGAGAGACAGAGACAGAAAGAGCAAAGAAAACAGATAACATTCTAGAGGGAACACAAATGTCCATCAGTAGGGGAGTCGTTGAACTGAATCATATGATGTAATACTATGCAAATGAGTGATCACATTTTAGAGGGAACACAAGTGTCCATCAGTAGAGGTTTATTTAACTGACTATGTAATACTATAATGGATCCACCTGATGTAATACTGTAAGTGACTAGGGTGGAGCCACCTGATGGAATACTATGATTGATCCATATGATGTAATACTGTACAAAAGAATGAGTGATTGTCATCCAGCATATGTTGTTCTAAAAGGTATACACAGTTGTAAAAGATATTGCTCTGCAACTATAGAATAGTGTGCAAAGTATGCTGCGTGTAAAAAAGGAGGGAACCACTCTATAAGTAAAGTATTGCTGATATTAAAAAAAAACAATGAGGATAAACACCGAATTTATAAAATTGTGACCCTTGGTTCAGGTACCCATACATTTGTTTGTCTAGAATAGCCGTGGTTAATGCCTTTTGTATATCAGCAGAAGTGGAGGGGACTGCTTTTTGAAAAGACATCGTAATGGTCTATTTCTGATGTATAGGTAGAATCTGGGCAATTTAAAGGGAGGACAAGAAATAAGAAATGTTAACTCCTGCACATAAAAATATAAAATATTACTCTCTGTACTTTAGCCGAAGAAAAGTTTGAGTATTTTGCTTATCTGTGAAGCTAGTTATCTTCTTATTTATTACCTAATTTTTAAAAACCTTATTCTTTCTTGGTGCCTTTAATGATTTCCATCCAAAGGGGTCCAAGGTTGTAGGCATCTTTATAAAAAACTAGGCTCGGGAAACTCTTTTAGGGGTTCACTCCCACCCTGTGCTTTATATTTCTACTTTTCTGACCTCCAAAGTCTCCACCCTTTGGCCTTGCCACCTAAACGCTCCTCCTTGGCCTTAACCTTTCTCAGAGGTGCCACATTTGGATATTGTGAGAAGGCTTAAAAAGGAAGAAACACAAATGGATTTGGAGAGACCTGTACAAGGCACCTATCTTAAGAAGGACAAGTCTGCAGTCAGCGGATATTTCAGACAAAGCCTCTCCTTTTCCCTTTGTTCACCAGATGGCGGTTTTATCACTCCCTACCAGTTTGCATTCTCAGTGACCAACTCCATTTTCTTTTATCTCAGGCCCCCTTTTCAGTGATTGTGGTAAAATTAGATAGAGCTAGAATCCTTTTATTTTATCGCATTTGCAATGTAGGCCTTATCTATTGACACTGGGAAGGACACAATGGTCTGAACTGTGTTCCTGGTGCCAAAGAACTGGAAATCCTATTCCTCCCAGAGGGGTGCTTGCCAATACTTCCTGACTACCATGCATCCAAAATTCACACAATCAAGGACTGTCCTCCAAAGACAAATAACTTTTAAAAGAGGATGAAGTTCCCATGTTCACGCTCCGATACCTCCTCCTAAAAATGACCCCAGTACTAAGTATTAAAGAGGCCAGAGATGCTGTTAATTGTCCACAATGCACAGGAAAGCCCCCACAACAAAGAATTATTGGCCCCAGATGTTAATAGTGCCAAGGTTGTGAAACCTTGAATTAGAGTACAATTTAAATGTTGTAACAAAAACACCTAGAAATAGAGTGATTCAAACAAGATAGAACTGGATGTGTCTTTGTCTAGGATGGGAAAGGTGGACCTAAAACCACACCCAGGCTCCTTACCTATTGTTGCTCTGTATTACTCTATGCTGTCGACCTTGACAAATGGTTGAAGCTGGCTTTCCAGCCTTGCCTTAACATTCTGACTCGTATGTATGAGTTTACTAGGGTTGTCATAACAAAATACCACAGACTGGGTGGCTTAAACAACAGGAATTTATTTTCCCACAGTTCTAGAGGCTGGATGTCCAAGATCAAGGTGAGGCTTCTCTCCTTGGCTCATACATAGCTACCTTCTCGCTGTGTCTTCACACGACCTTTCCTCTATGTACACATATCCCTGGTGTCTCTTCCTCTTCATATAAGGACACCAGTCATATTGGATTAAGGCTCCATCCTTATGACCTCATTTAACCTTAAAAGGCCCTATCCCTACACACAGTTACACTGGGGGTTAGGGCTTTGATATATGAAATTTGAAGGGATGTAATTCAGTCCACAACACCACGGGAAAGAAGAAGAAGAGAAATTAGAGGTCAAACAATTTCGTTTTTTAGGGATTTCACCCAGAAGTTGCATAAATCATTCACTCTTATATATCATTGGCCAGAACTTAGACACATGCCCTAGCTAACTGCAAAGAAGGCTGGGGAATATATTCTTTAGCTAGGCGGCCATGTGCCCAGCTAAATAAAACTCAGGGGGCTATGTTACTCAAAGGAAAAGTATTAAAAAAAGAGACAGAATTCTAGAAACTGGAAAATGATGGTTTGTTCTCATTTTTGATCTAGCATTTCTCCAATATAATGCCTCTTGGATTCACCCCCTCTACCACGGCTTACAGGATAATGATATCTATTCCCATGTAGGAACCAAGCACTGTGGAAACTACACCCATGCCTAGATACTTTTTCATTTAGAAGAGAGTCAAAACCATAGCCACAAGAAAATAGTATTGCCCAGTGGCAGTGTTGAGTCCAGGAAAATGTACTCCCACCCTGAGACACTGTGTGTCTCTTATTTTGTCTCTAGAATTTAAGAATAGTGAGAAAGGCTCTGTGAACAGGAAACTGGAAGAGAAAATGCCTATGCTCAGGTCCTTTAAATTAACTTCTTTTTCTGCTGTCAAACACTTGGATCTCTGTCCCTAATGACTGAGGCTGAGATGTGGTTCTTAAAGATGGAAAACTATCTCTGAATAGTTAACTATCTCTGAATCTGTTAATATATTAACAACCATCATATCTGATATATATCTTAAGCATGACCACAACATAATACACTTTATTTTAACATATATTACCTCAGTTAATATATTGACATTGAATAATTGTAATTCTAATGCTAGATTTTCAGGTAGTTTATGCTGTTAATGGCTAAAACAAGGCCATCATCCAAGTTATTTGTGGAACTTCAATAACAGACTGTATTTATGTAAAATACCATTAAGCCTTAGTGGGAGTTATGGAGCAATTACAGCAATGGGAGTTAAAAGAAGGTGGGTGACCTTTCACAACTGTCCAAGGAGCACCCATCAGAAAAAGCCAACTCACCGTTCTTCTTGTAGAACATAATTTCTCCTTTGAATTCTGCTTTTTCCTCCAAGGACTTTTCTATCTGAAGCATCAGTTGCTCGTTGGTCTCAACCCCGAATAAGAATTTGCAGCTACAACTCTTCTGCATGACTTCTGTCCGGGCAAATCCAGCAAGCTCACAGAAGCCATCCGAACAGTAGACTATGGGGAAACCCTTAGCCACCTGGGCGTTGGCGAGGATGAAGTTGCTATCTGTAGACCAACAAGGAGAAGACAGCAAGTAAACAAGCATGAGAAATTCTTTGTAAATCGCACTTTCAGTAACAAGTCATAAGCACATATGTTTAGCCAACATTACCAAAAATGCAAGTCCTGATGGGCTGGGGTGGAAAAGAGACACCCCAAAACATAGAACGGCATTGCCCAGCAGAAGTATGTATTAAGCTCCAACATTGGTTTGCATTTTGAAACACACCATGGAGGGAAGAGAGTATTCCTTGGCCTGCTTTGAGGCACTTACCATCTACCTAACAGTAAGGAATGGTGCTTCTGAGTGTGGCTTCTGGTTCATAGCTTGAATCTGCCACTTGATGTACAGATGACCTTGAACAAATTACTCACATATTCTGAACCTCAGTTTCCCTAGGTTTGGTTTCCCTAAAAGCAGACCGTGAGGCAAGGATTTGACTGTAAGCAGTTTATTTGGCAGGTGATTCTAGGAAGTAAGGAAGTGGGCAGGGAGGAAAGGTAATAAAGGGTGAGACAGAAAGGGGTTTACAGATATGAGCAACTGAGGATCAATCACACAGGGACACACAGAAGAAATGACTGGGCAGAACACAGCTCAAACTTTTCCCAAAGAGGAGAGAAAGCCAGGGTATTTATCCACCTCCATGAGTGTCTATACCTCATTGGTTAGGACACTTTGGGGTTGTCAATATGTTAGCACTTTGGCCTGCCCACTTGGGCTGAACACATTCTCCGGAGGTCACTTGGGCAGCACGATGCTAGAAGCCACCGTATATAAGGAAATGGTCTGCACAGCAACTTAAGGCTGAGTCAAGGAGATCCTGGGAGGGCACTGACAGGTGTACAGAGAGGGTGATACTGTTCCTTACTTCATAGATGTGTTGTAGAGATTCGTGAGAAATGCTTAGCACGATGTCTGGCACAAATAAGTACTCAATAAAAATTATTATTAAGAGTATTATTCACATCTTATGGCTACTATATTGACAAATAAGAATGTAGGGCAATAAAAAACAGGACACAGTTGTTAAGCGCTTAGAGATAACTTCTGGAGGAGAGCCTGAAAGACAACATTCAAGGGAGGTTCAAATTTTTTGAGATTAACTTAGAGCGGTGTTTACAGGCAAAAACATGCATATTAGAGATGGGGTGTAAGACAAGACATGTATAAAATGCGTTGGTGGGTGACTTTCAGGTTCAGAATGAATTAGAGACTATTATGAAATCACTCATTCATTCGCTCACGAAACTAAAGTTGAACAGAGTCAGTGTATCAGATGGTATTAGAGGCTGGGATTTTAAAGATAATAAAAAGAAAACGAAAAATGGAAAGAACTGTGGCATAAATTGTTAAATGAAAAAATATCATGATTCGGTGTAGTATGTTATTAGATGAACTATTTGTCAGAAAATATATAAACCCATATAGACATGTACGTGTATCCCCAAACAGGAAGTGTTTAGGTATACCTAAAACCAAGTGGGTTAACTGGTAACTGCAGATGTCTTCAGAGAGAGCAACTATGGGCAGAGGTGACAGAAATACTTATTTTTGCCATATTCTTACTACATCCTTTGAATTTTATATCATATGCTTTATGTATTACTTATTAAAAAACTAGGATTTTAGGGCTTCCCTGGTGGTGCAGTGGTTGAGAGTCCGCCTGATGATGCAGGGGACGCGGGTTCGTGCCCCGGTCCGGGAAGACCCCACATGCTGCGGAGCGGCTGGGCCCGTGAGCCATGGCCGCTGAGCCTGCGCGTCCGGAGCCTGTGCTCCGCAACGGGAGAGGCCACAACGGTAAGAGGCCCACGTACCGCAAAAAAAAAAGAAACAAGAAAAAAACTAGGATTTTAAAAGAGGTTTGCAGCAGACATCATATCTTGTATGCCATGAGAAAAGAGGAATCCCAGCTACTTCTTGGTGGCCAGCAGGACAGGCACTGATGATCTGTTCCATGGGCTTTCCCATCTCTTTTTAAACATCTGTTGCATGTTTCCATAGAACCCCATCAGCTGGCAGAACAAACCCACTCTACTCAGGTTTGCTCCAATTACCTCCTAAGCCCAGAGTAAAAATCCAAGTACTAACATCTGCATCCTGCCTGGGCCGGGCTCACCCATCTCCTTGCCCAGTCACCCTATCCCTCTGCAGAACAGTCAGAGCTTAAAATCCATACTGGGAAGCCTTCAGTGGCACATTGTTTTGAGGCCATGGGAGTGAATTAAATTATCCAAGACTAATGTTTAATTCTCTCACACTCTGAAGAAGCATCTATTGATGGTGTACGATGGATGGACTTTGTTCCAGGTGCAGAGAGGCAGAAAAGTGTATTAGATGCAGTCCCTGCCCTTAAAGATCAGCCTTGAACCTATGGGAGTTCCCAGCTAGGTCCAGAGGGGGGCACCCTCCTATTGGTCTTGGTCTCACCAACTCTGCACAGTTCTGGGTAACTCTTTTACCATTAGTTTCTCTTCCTCCTTCCATTCTAAAATTTAGGCTGAGAGCTAATGCAAATGCAGAACATTGGCAAAGTACTCAAATGTCCTGAAAGAGCTTTTAATGTTTTTTCAGAAGCCGTTTTTCAGTCGACTGCTGACATGTTTATTGACTCTACTATATGCCATGTGACATGGTTCTACCATATGGCAGTTCCTAGAGTGAGGTGACAGGGGGGTGTAAAAAGATGAATAAAGTATAATCTCTAGCTTTAGGATGTTACAACATAATTAAAGAAATGCATGAATATCTGTAACATTAAAATACAGCATATCGTAAGTACCAAATCAGTGGTACACAGATAACTACTCCCAGAGTTGAGAAACTGAAGATCCAGGGCTTTTAAAATGACTAGCTAGGAATAAGACAAAAATGGGTGGAGATAATTATCAAAAGACCTGGAGGGTTGGAGCAGATGCCTGGATGGCCCAGGCTCAGAGTGTGAATGGAGAAATAGGAATTAGAGACAGAGAAAATACATAACATTACATTTTGTCCTAAAGTCCAGTTTCCCATCATTTAAACAGCCACAATAGTTTTCTTTTGTTAGTTTTTATCTGTCTTTCTACTTTTGACCCTTGCAGGGACTTGTATTTTATAGCTGTGTCTTGCACATAGCATGCATTTAATTTTTTTTAAAGTACGACATGAAGATACATCCACCAACCTGAGACTGATATATTTACTTTTATTATGATTACCATATTACATTGTCTTTTTCTTTTTTTTAACCAACTTAATTTGTGCTTTCTCTTCACTGTGTTTTGTTATTTTGCCTTTTCCACTTTCAAAAATTAGAAAGTATAACACACCTGAAAAAAGGTTTAATAACAGTATTTAAAAACAACAGTAAACACCCGTGGATGGTGAAAACCCCTGTGAGCACCACACAAATCGTATTTCCCTCCTTCCCCAAAGAAGAAAACCATAACTTGAATTTTTGTAATAATCATTCCCATTTACACAGTTTTTACCACTTACATATGTATCCTCATGTTGCCTATTTTTTCTGATTCTTATGGCATATATTATGGTAGTTCATTCTACATACTTTTTAGTGACTTGCTTCTTTTATTAATTTCCTTAGCATCTTTATAATTGTTTATGGACATAAGAAAAGACCAGTCCTTCAGAGCTACAATAAGCTTCTGAAAAAAGCCGCTAAAGGATTCACCAAATTGCCTGATATGTGCATTTCAATTAAGGATTATAGTGTGTTTGGGGTACTGAATTCTTCCTGCAAATACCCTGCAAAAACAAAGCAAAACAGAAAAAAAAAAAAAGTCATGTATTTGAGCTTTTCTGTTTATAGGTAGCACTTGTCCTGTCCTTGATATGTAATTGCATTTCAATTCGAGAGAATTTAGTGGCAATCGGCTTCTCATAAAGCTTAGTGTACTAGCTACGTGAATAGTCCTTCTGTTTGGAAAAGAGTAGCTCCTCTTCCCAGCTATCTACTTAGAAACATATGCTTTTCTGAATACCAGTCCTGGAATCTCCAAAGAAGAAATGTGACATTTACTTTAGAATTATGGAAAACAAAGCCACTGCCGTAATGATTATGAACCCATCAGGGGTATATCACGAACCATACATATGTCAAGGGTACTTAACCTTTTAAATTTTTTTTTTTTTTTTGCGGTACGCGGGCCTCTCACCCTTGTGGCCTCTCCCGTTGCAGAGCACAGGCTTCGGACGTGCAGGCTCAGCGGCCATGGCTCACGGGCCCAGTCGCCCCGCGGCATGGGGGATCCTCCCAGACCGGGGCACAAACCCGTGTCCCCTGCGTCGGCAGGCGGACTCTCAACCACTGCGCCACCAGGGAAGCCCTAACCTTTTAAAGAATCAATTATGCATATGTGATATGCATCTAAATGCCACACAGCTTTTTCCTCCTTGTTTCTAGGTCATCCTTTTGTGTAAATTTAGTTTCGAAGTGCCGGTAAACAGTAAGATTTAAATGTGTTTACATTCTGAGTAGTTGATTATTTATCTAAATGGCTCCTTAGCCAAAAGCTTTCATGGATCACCAGAGGGAATCTCAGGGTTGGTGGAGACCCAGGTCATTTGCTCTGAGTCCCTACTGTAGGGTACCACTTTCCCATTCAAATGGAGATGTACTATTCATTGTCGACTGCCAGGCACAAAGGGAATGGGAGTTGGAAAGGCAAAATATAGAAGGAAAAAAAAGAGGAGAACGCAAACACTGATCCACTACTAGCTCCTTTCATCCTCAGCCCATTTTTCAGATGAGAAAACTAAGACCTGGAGAACTTTAGTGTCCAGTCCAAGGTTTGAAGGGAGGGATTAAAATCCAGTCTATGTGACAAACAATGTTTACTACGTCATGCATCCTTTCTGTAAAGAAGTGACTTGTTCTCTACTTCCAGCAGAAATGGGTTAATTCTAGAAAAATATTTTTACCCCTTCAGTCTACAAAGACCTCAAAGGCACAGATTTTTCTCTATAGAGATCATTTATTAGAAGTTCATTGATGACATCT